TGCTTACGTAGTTAGACAAGAATTGGAAAACATTGGCGTCGAAGGATTCAAACAATCGTAGTTTACAATATTTTTGTGGATTTGGATTAGAATTAATGTACAAATATATTTTTAGTTATGAGACCAGCAACGGAATCTCCGCTTCCGAAGAAGGACATGTGATCAACGCTGGAACTGAAAACGAAGCCATCGCCGTCCGTGGACAATTCTCTTACATTGGTGCTGATGGTCAAACTTACACTGTTACCTATGTAGCTGATGAGAACGGTTTCCAACCACAAGGAGAACACATCCCAAAAGATGATCACTAAAGACTTGCCAATAATTATATTAAAAAAATGAAAAATCTCTGATTAAATTAAATTAATTTATCAAAATATTCTGATTATTTATTTATATTCCTATATATACTCACAAAATATGATACAATAAATTAAAGCAACGTATTTCTTAGTATTCTAATATTTCTTCTCATTATTCATATATCTAACTAACAAATTATAAATGTATCTGCATTCGAATAATAAATACAATGCATTTTTCCTTAAATATTAATTTAAATTCTGAAATCCTACGCAAGTTAACATATATTTCTTTACTTGAAAGTACTTTAAATATCTGAATAATAATAATAATTTATTTGCCAAACATCGATACATAAGAAGATGAGACAAAAAGTACAATTTATACATAAATAAATTTTAACATACAATAAAAATATATATACTAATAGGCTGGCCAAAGGGCTATCGACCGAGGAAATATCTGAAATTATTCAAAACAATGAATAACGTTAACGATTAACAAAACAACTTAAACAAAGTCGTGAAAATTGAATTTAAACCGAAGACCACTTCGATAATGAAATATATTTACAAAGTATTGAAAAATAGGAAAAGGAGTAGTTGCATAAATTATTTGTAGTTACCATTTTATGAGTTCAAATAACATATAACAAGTCGGGTCTATTACAACAACTATAAATGATGTACTGTCCACTCTATTGATTTAATATGTTACTTTTACCTATTTTACTTATACACTATCTAATTTATTCAGCTTTTATCTCTATTCTGATAATTTTAATAGTTAGTCGGTCCTGTACTGTCCACTCTGTTGATTTTAATCAGTTACTTTTACCTATTTTATCAAATGAAATTAAATTTATATATTTTAACTTAGTTGTTGCATTATTTTGTATGAGCCCTTCGTGATTGTGATAAGGGCTAATGACATAAATATTTATTTTCATAGCAATTTCTTCTTTTAACTATTATAACATTAATGTGGCTGATAGTATAACTTAAAATTAATAATAAATACAATGAAATGGATTGTTTTGACCAAAAATATGTTCAAATCGCGAATTTTCTCTTAATTTCTGAATAAAATAATATTGTCTCTAATTCATCTAATAACTAGAAAATACGAAACGAATTGAGGACAAAATTTTTATTTATTTGATTAGTATAAATCAGAATAACTAAGTTTAAGTAAATATTTCAGGTAATTAATCAATTTAAAAAAAAAATAAATAACGTAAAATATTGACGCATCGATCGTCATTCTCAGAC